TTTTCAGTGTATATCTTTGTATAGCAAACCCTCAATGAGGTCTTATATGGTGAGAATTTTTATTATAACTCACATTTTGGATGGATATAAATTCCATGTGGATTCAGTGTTCTTTTCCTTTAACACTTTAAAAAACATTACTCCATTTTCCTCTTAAAATCAGATTTCTCAAAATCGACACTAGGTGCAATATAATTCTTGTTCCTTTGTAGGTGATCTGCTCTTTGTCACGGGAAGCTTTTAGAATTCTGTCTTTGTCTTTGATATTATCTGTCACTATATGGGCCCAAGGGTGGGTTTTCCTTCCCACTCACACACAGAAGTCTTTAAGCCCTTTCAGACTAAGGTCTTCTGTTAGTCTTTAATTCTGAGAAACTGATCTTAATTATTTCTTCAAATATTTTCTCCTCCCTTTTTGTTCTCTCTTCTAGGATTCCTATTTACCTGGATAGAAACTCTTCTACATCTAACTTTCATGCCTCTTGGCTTTTATTCTATGTGTTCTCTTTATCATTTAATGTTGCATTCTCAGCGTTTTTCAGCATCATCTTCCAACTCATGAGTTTACCACCTGTACACCTTCAACCATCATCCAGTCTACTGTATTCTTTATTTTTACATTTTTCATACCTAATACTTCTACTTGGCTCTACACTGTTATGTTTTCTTGTTTTTGCATAGTATTGTTATATTTTTCTAATCTCCTGAAATAATATTTGTCAAGTTTATTTTTAATTCTTGGTCAATCTTTTCCAAAAATTCTCTATCAGATGGTATATGTTATTCACTTAGTTGTCTTTCTTTGAGAGTAACTGTACTATTCAGGTGCCTAGTTTGGTTATAAACTAATGTTTTTCTGGGGAACCAGTCACTCTGTCTAGTAATATATATGGTTACCAGACCTCACTGTATCCAACCTGGTGAAATTAAGAAGAGAGGAGAGTGAGCCCCAGAGCAAAGAGCCCCAGGGACCTTAGAACTACTGCTATTTACTCCAATTTGCTGGGCATTCCACAGACATTTCCTCTCATTTAAACTCAGGGAGAAATAACACTGGGCAGAGTCTTCTTAGGTTGAAACACACCAATGGGAGCTTGGGAGGGGAGAAAAAAGGTAGTTATCCCCTATGGACAATTAGGCCATACCCATTTATATTAATGCCATCAGAGCCCTAACAGATCTTTCGAATAATCATGGAAGCCTGGGCCACTGCTGCTCATTTCTGTGGGGAAAGAACAGGGAAAGACAGTCTCAAGGCAACACCAGAGAGAAATAACAATAGAACTTAATAGCCTTCCAATCTATCTTCTCACTGCTTCTTCATGCAGTCCTTAGTCCCAGGCTATAGCCACCACCCCCACATAGAGACTCATGAGAGCCTTAATCTCCCCACACTTCCCTCTTATTCCTCCAGTTCTTCAGAGTTGATCTTGGGTGAAGGAGTCAACAGCTTGGACTAGTTTGGTAGGAAATGCAAACTGGCTTCGAAAATATTTTCTTTATCAACGGTGTAGAACTTTTGTTCAATTTCAACCACTCATAATCCAGTTCAGAAATGAGACACAAGGGGCGCCTGGGTGGCTCAGTCGGTTGCGTGTCTGCCTTCAGCTCAGGTCACGATCTTGGAGTCTGGGATTGAGCCCCGCATCAGGCTCCCTGCTCAGCGGGGGGAGTCTGCTTCTCCCTCTGACCCTCCCCATATTGTGCTCGCTCTCTCTCACTCTCCATCTCTCAAATAAATAAATAAAATCTTAAAAAAAAAAAAGAAATGTGACGCAAAATGAAAGGTCAAAATTTGTTAGTACAATATCGTATTACCATAAAATTTACCCTGGGGCATCTAGTTTAGAGAGTAATAATAAGTACTTCCTAATTCTTTCACGGACACATAACAACCCTATCTTCATACCTTTGAAAACACATTTTATTTATTTTTTCTAACTTTTCATTAACCATGGATTTATAAAGCATTGTGTATAAACTTTTGGGTAAAAAAAAAAAAAACCACCCTACTATAGTTCCTCTGCTCACCAACATTTTTAACCTAAGTGTCTTTAAGCACCACGATACCCAGTCCTCTACTGCAGATCTAGACCATGGCAGGCACTCTCAAACACACACGTACAACTATTAGCCTCAAGCCAATCCAAAACTATGTCAGAAATAGAGAAGTTAGCAGACAGGATGCGTTTTCAACAATAGGCAAGAAATGAAATGGACCTAACAAGTGAGGTGGGGAGGAAGAGAAAGAATCGGTGGACAGTTGGTAAGACTTGGTTAATAAATGAATTTGGTTGTTCCCTATAAAAAGGGTATCAAAAAAGCTAATTCAACCTTAAATTTCATGGAGGAATACAATATCTAGTACCAAGGAGGTAATGTTTTTTATCTATTCTGTACTGGCAAGATGTTATCAATAATAATTTTCAGTTCTCAACACCGCACACCACATGCTCTGGAGGTCAAAATCTTTTCAATTTTTGCCAGTATAATGGTTGGGAAAATGATATCTTTTAAATTTGTATTTTTCTCACTACTAGTACGATTGACTATCTGCCAATAAAAAATGCAAACAGCTAATAAACTCTTCTTTCTGAACTGCCTTTCTGAACTGTTCATATTCTTTATCAATTTTCCTCAGGTTATTTTTTTTTTATAATCAGTTTCCAGAAACTCTCTGTATTTTCAGGATTCTCACCCTTTCTCAGTTATGCGTTACAACTATTCTCACCTAGCCTATCATTTGCATTTAGCTTTTATTTACAGGGGCTCTTCTATATACCTTAAAAAAAAAAAATGTGTATGTAGTCAACATTTGTTGGTTTTTGCTTGACATGTTGTTTCCTGTTCTGTCTTTTCCAGCACAGATAATACAAACATTAAACTCACATATTCTTCATTTTTTCATATTTTGACTAACTATTTTCTCCTACTTGAAAATCTATTGTACCAATACCATTTAAGTAAGTTTTTTCCCTCTGAACTGAATTGCCACTTTGATAGTATTTTTAAGTTCCATAATTACTTGTAACACCTGGATTTTATTCCTTTTGGTTGCCTACTCTTGGGCCAATACCATGCTGTTTAATTAGAGAAGGTCTGTGGTAATTTTTAATATCTAGGTTTCCTTACTTATTCTTTCCTCAGTTTTCTAGAATGTACTCATTTAAAGGGCACTTTCTCTAGGGACAGAGAAGAGGGGACGAGGTACAAATTGTAAGATGTATGATTATCTTACAACTAAAAAAATGTAGTTAATAAGTGAATAGAAGAGTTTTAATTCAATTCCATACAATAAATAAAAGTTAAAAAGCAGAAAACAATCACATGGACAAATGCAACTGACACATATGGCAGAAACTATACCTCACATTTGAGGTTAATAACAAGGTACTTTACAGTGGAGGAAACTGAGGCACAGGTAGGAAATGGAAGAGAGTGTTAGGCCAAGAATCTGACTAATGGTAAAAACAAAAAGAGAAAACATCTAGTAAGGGAGGAACAGGGACCAAATAATACGGAGTTCACTAATATTTTACTTGTACGATCCCACCCACACAGAGGTAAAGAAATAAATTGGATAAACAGATAAGCAAAACAGAAATAGAAATTGGTCATTCTACAACTGGTCATAGCCAACCGTCCACCTAGCCAAGAATAATGGTTCAGTGTAGGTGAGGCAAAAATTATGCAATTAACTGTAATAGTTCTAGTCTAAGGCTTGTTCTTTTGATTTTCAGAGATTATGAATCCATTCACAAATAGCAATAGAGAACATAAACATTCTGTGCTTTTGCCAGCATAGAAGGACCCCAAGCAGTCTATTTCCCAATTCCTATCAAAAACAAATTTGAGGGGCACCTGACTGGCTCAGTCAGTGCAGCATGCAATTCTTGATCTCAGGTCGTGAGTTGAAGCCCTACGTTGGGTGTAGAGATTACCAAAAATAAACAAACTTAAAATATATATATTATATATAAAACAAAACAAATTTGAGTCCTCTGGTGACTACTGGAGGTATAAATGTGGCTATCATACTTCCTACTCTGAAACCCACCAGTGAGCCAAGAGAAACAAACTTTTGTAAAAATATGAAATAACCCTAAACCGCAGATCAGGAAGTATTCAATAAAATATAATACAATTTGAGACAAGGTAATAATGAACATCATGAGCCAAAATATACCTCTACATATCCAAGCAATGTTGGATTTTTCTGAAAGTAACAGAAAGGTCTTAAAATTTTTAGCTGAAACAAAGATAAAATGAGGGTGTAGACAAATTATAGGAGAGAGAGCAAATATTCCTCTGAGGGTACATTCCAATATGGAGGAAGGGCAAGGGACATGGAGATAAAGAAGAGATTATGTCATGTTCATTTTCTCTGACTTCTGAATCAGAGAGCCTGTAAGGGAAGATGCTGTGATGACCAACATTAGTTGAACGGAACGAAATAAATCATCAAATCATCAAAGAGATGACCATGTTACATTGAGAGACACAGTGCATTCCGTCCTGGGTGATCTATTCTCCGGAAAGGAGGGAACACCAATGCTTAGGAGATAAAAGGTTCTAGGTCAGAGTATAAGAAGTCTCTGTGAGACAAGAAAAGTGAGCTGAACTTCCAGATGTCCCAGAACACAGCCTTCCCCATTTCTGCAGATAATATCAATAATTAACTGGGCTCTTATCATATTCTAGTCACATATTCTAGGAGTTTACAAATATTAACTCTCTTAAATCCTTAAAACAACCTCAATGAGGTAAGTACTCTTGTTATCTCCGTTTACAGAGGAGGTAAATGAGGGTCAGAGAGGTTAAGTAAATTTCCTATAGTTACATAGCTAGGAAATATAAGGCCCAGAATTGAACCTAAGCAAACTGGCATAAAGCTCAGGGTTTTAACTATTATGCTGTATTGTCTCTTCTACTTTAATGTTAAACAATTAGCAAACCAATAAAGTACACAGAATTTATTTATACAGGAAATATTTACATACCTTGTACTGTAAACTCTGCTTGAGCTTCAATTGTCTCATTTCCATTATCAGCTATACAAAAATAAGTCCCCGCATCATCCTCAGTAACATCACTGATCTCCAGACTACCACCTGCCAGCAACACCAATTTTTCAGAGCTGCATAAAAAAATATTGACACATTTCAGAACTAGGAAAATAATAAATACCTGAGAAACTCTCTACATAAAACAGAGAAAACACTTAAAAAGCATTATTATTTATATGGCTACAGAGAGACTAACAAAATTAGCAGAATTTAATTTAGTCCAATTACTCTGCTCATATTTTACATGCATAAATATCACAAACACGAACCAAAATGTTACAATGAATTATCTCTAACACTTATTTTTTCTGAGAGAGAGAGAGAAAGAGCATGAAGCTTGGGGTGGGGAGGGGCAGGGGAGAGGGAGAGAGAGAATATGAAGCAGGTTCCACACTCAGCGTGGAGCTCAAATCGGGGCTCGATCTCACAATCCTGAGATCATGACCTGAGCCAAAATCAAGAGTCAGACGTTTAACCGACTGAGCCACCCAGGTGCCCCTATCTCTGAACACATCTAATTATTCTCAAAGGTACACTACTTTTATAACCAATTCCACTCCCCACAATCCATCCCTGCCTCCCAACTCTGCCCAGTTTTTCCGCACATGATCTAATTTTGAATTCTGGAATCAATCTGAGATTGATTCAGGTATGCCAAATTGAGAGGACAACTGGAGAAGGTAAAATGTCAGATCAGAAACACAAAGTCGTGGGGCCACGATGCCTACTGAAAATTTCCTGTGGTGGCTTGGCTAGGGAAGGGAGGAAAAGGGACAGGGAAGGGAGAGAACACGCTTGCCAGAGAGCAGCAACGTGGATGTGGTTACCAGGTAAGAACCTGCTATCATGCCATCATCAACAAGGACACTGACCACTATAACCCAGATCTATACAGTGATTTAAACCTTTTAAAGAGAATATTTAAAGAAAAAGTAAGTGATCCTATAACATCAAGGGAAAAAAATCACAAATCAATAGTCTCAAGTTTTTATAAAGCAAAAAGGTTTAGATGATTTGGAGTTTGTGGAGTTATAATTTTATTTTTATTTTGAGGTTCTATGTCTAAACTGGTTTTCATAGGCAGATTTTTCTCTCAAATCTTAATATTGTCATATTTCCTATCTGTAACTATGCTCAACAAAAAATATGGCTTTTCATAGAGAATTTGATGGGGAAAAAAGAGAGGAAATGACTATTATGACTATTCTGTCTGTGTCACATTTATAATTCTCATCCTAAGTAAAGAGCTATTCTAGCTTAAATTTCAGTACGCTGTGAACCTGAGTAATTAAGCTTCCTGAATCTGATAAACAAGATTAAGTTTCTGGACAAAGAAAGAGGAAAACCAGAATCAGGTTTGGTGGCTTCTCTATGAAATACCCTGCAAGATCACGACTCAACTTTATCAAGTGGCCTTCTAATTTGAAACATCTCTATTAGACCTCAAATCCCAATTTAATGTGATGAGATAGAGAAGCAGTAAACATATCATAGAACAGAGCAAGAACTACTTGGATAAAACAGAGAGATAAGACTGGGTTTCCATGCCTCACAAAATAAGAAAAATTTACAAAATTGAAAATCCTCTATTTCACCCTTAGACAAAATTACTACTAATCTTCAGAAATGGAAAACAATGCTCACGAGTGGAAAATCAGCAATATATACATATGATACCCAGTTGAGGGGAAGATAATTTGAAATACTAGTTGGTATGGTACTTTTGAACTGGAGATACAGTAATTCCTACTTAATAATTATACTAAAAAATATTCCTGATATTTGCTTGCCTCATATTTGCCATAACTGAGTGCCGGTATAGAAGTCAATCTTTCTTCTGGGAGGAAGAATGGCTGTTAGCTTGGCAGAATTCATTTAACTTGTTCACGTGATGATGTGAGAGCTTATAGTAAGATGGCAATCGAGTCTTTAGAACTCCAAAATTCAAAGATATAAACAAAAGGAACAGTGTGTGAAAAGTAAGCATGGTCACTGGACCCAAGTTAGGTTGAGTGTTGCTGGACAAACTATGTGTGTGTGTCGCTGGGGAGTCAGGGCTCAGTCTAGGAGATGGTACAAAGGAGACTTTTTGTTTGTTTGTTTGTTTTGCCAAGGGAAAGGCCTTGAAGGAGATGAATCACATGATTTAGTGAAGGACAAGAGGAATGGGTAAAAGACTAGAAGCAGAAAGTTTGATTGTGAAATTATTGTAATGGTCCAGAATTAAAGAGAAAAAGATGAACTCTGGCAATAACAACAGAGGTAAAAAGAAAGCAAAAAGTATTTTTTGAGAGAAAGACAACTCTTAAAAACAATGGATGATGCAGGTAAGGAGAGGAATTTACCCACTCAGCAAATATTTACTGGTGTGCCTCCATGTGCCACACAGCAGCGGGGGACGCAGCAGCGAGCAGAACACAGCCAGTGAGCCCGTGCGACTCAGTGGGAAAGACATACATGGAAGATGGTAATTCCACAAAATGCTAGAAATGAAATTTTTCTGACCAAAGTAACCCTTGAACAGAGATCTGAAGAATGAGAAGGAGCTAACTAATAATGAAAAGGAGAAAAAGATTTCAGAAAGAAAGACTAGCATATTCAAGAGAACAGTGGCAGAAAGGACCACAGTGTGTTTCTGGATCTGAAAATAACCAGTGTGGCCAAGTTTAAGCCACACTGGTGGCTTCACACAATGAAGCCAGAGTAAGTATGGGAAGAACAGGAGAGTCCTGTGGTAACTGAGGTGACAGCTGACAGTAGCTTGGAATAAGGTGGTTTTCAGAGATAGTTAGGAGGTTCCATGACAGATGTAGATGGATTAGACAGAGAAGTTGAGGAAGAAACACGTCAAGGAAGATTCTTAAGGTTAGGGTAGTATGTGTGAAGGGGAAAACAAAAGGAAATTGGCTTGTTTAATTTAGTTTCTTTGTGTTGTTACTTGCGTGAGAGAAAGGCAAGCCTTTTTATAGGCAAAAAGAGAAGGAGCCAATGGAGAGGAAAATATTTGAGAAGAAGATTCATAAAAGTGCTGGAAGAAAATGGAAAGTAATAAGATTTAGAGCACAAAAGGACATCTCTTCTTTTAAAACAGCAGGAAAGGAAGGGAACAATATTTATTCTCTTCTGTTTTTTTGTTTTGTTTTGTTTTCACTAAACTTTTTATTATGAGGTAACTACAGTTTTAAGAAATAATACAGAGAGGGGACACCTGTATGGCTCAGTCATTTAAGCGTCTGCCAGGTCTGCTCAGGTCATGATTCCAGGGTCCTGAGATTGGGCCCCACTTGGGGCTCCCTGCTCAGCAGGGAGCCTGCTTCTCCCTCTGCCTGCCGCTCCCCCTGCTTGTGCTCTCTTCTCTCTCTCACTCTCCCTCTGACAAATAAATAAAAATCTTAAAAAAAAAATAATACAGAGATGTATTGTATGTACGTCTTTACCCAGTGGTAACCTCGTAGAGTACAACATCACAACAAGAATACTGACATTTCCATCACCACAAGGATCCCTCCTATGGCCCTTTTACAGCCACACCCTCTTTCCTCCTCCTCCCACCTCCTCATTAACCCCTGGCAACCACTAATCTGTTCTCCATTTCAGTAATTTTGTCATTTCAAGAAGAATATTATATAAATAAAATCATACAGTATATAACCTTTGGGGCTTGGCTTTCTTCACTCAGCATAATTCTCCAAAGATTCATCTAGGTTGCTGCATATATCAATAGTTCCTTCCTTTTATTGCTTAGCAGGAATTCCACAGTATGGATATACCTTAGTTTGTTTAACCATTCACTCAATCAAGGACATCTGGGCTGTTTCTAGTTTGGGGCTATTATGAATAAAGCTGCTGTGAATACAGATATGCAGACTTGTGTGTGAACATGAAGTTCATTTCTACAGGACAAATGCCCAAAAGTGTTAATGTTAGGTCATACGGTAGTTGCAACATGTTAAGTTTTTAAAGAAACTGCCAGTTTTGTGGAGTGGCTGTACCATTTTCACATTCCAGCCAGCAGTGTCAGAGTGATCCCATTTCTCCACATCCTTGACAGCATTTGATGCTGTCAATTTTTACAAAGTGTAGCTATTCTGATAGGTACATAGCAATATCTTACTGTGATTTTAATTTGCATTTCCCTCATGGCTAACAATGTGAAACAACTTTTCTTGTGCTTACTTGCCATCTTCATCTTTTCCAGTAAAACATATATTCATGTCTTTTGCCTATTTCTAATTGGATTATGTGCTTTTCTACTGTTGAGTTTTGAAAGATTATTATACATTTTACATACACTTGTTGAAGATGTGGCTTGCAAATATTTTCTTCCACTCTGTAATTATCTTTTCATCCTCTAAAAGGGTCTGTCACAGAGCAAAAGTTTTTAATTTTGATGAAATCCAATTTTCAACTTTTCCTTTTATGGATTGTGCTTTCGGTGTCAAATCTAATAACTCTTTGCCTAGCCCTAGATCCTGGTATTCTCCCATATTTCTTTTCTCAAATTTCATTTTGCATTTTACATTTAGGTCCAAGAGTTAATTTTTTATATGACGTGTGAGACATAGGTTGAGAGGCGTGACCAACTGCTCCAGCAGCATTTGTTAAAAATGCTATCTTTCCTGGGGTGCCTGGGTGGCTCAGTTGTTAAGCATCTGCCTTCGGCTTGGGTTGTGGGATCAAGGCCCGCATCAGGCTCCCTGCTCAGCGGGAAGCCTGCTTCTCCCTCTCTCCCTGCTTGTGTTCCCTCTCTCGCTGTGTCTCTCTCTGTCAAATAAATAAATAAAATCTTTAAAAAAAAAATGCTACCTTTCCTCCATTGATCTGCTTTTACATCTTTGTCAAAAATTAGTTGGGCATTTTTGTTTGGTCTAAATCTGAATTCTCTATTCTGTCCCAGTGATATATGTGACTATCCTCAATGCCATACAGTCTTGATCACTGTAGCTATATACAAGTCCTGAAATAAGGTAGACTGATTCTTCTCACTTTTTAAAAAAACTGTTAACTATTCCAGTTCCTTTGCTTTTCCATCTAAATTTTAGAATAGTCTTGCCTATATCTACAAAAGATC